CTGCTCCAGGAGGGGCTGTGTGGTCCCGAGGACACTCAATCCCATGTCCCCAGTGCTGTGGGAGCTGCTCTCGCCCTGCAGACACATTCCTGAAGTCAGGCTTTGCCCTGTGCCTCAGGAGGTCTCAGTTCCAGCCCCAGTGGGATCAGTCAGGTCTGTTCATTTCTCTTTTCAGTGAGCACTGATGACAGGAGCCCGAGTGATTCCCAGGTATTTGCAGCTGTTACCTGTGTGTTGTAGCAATGATGCAGTCCCTTAAACTTTGGTAACCTCTTCGTGTTTGTAGTCTCTGAGCTTTGAGTTTATTCAAATTTATTTTCCCCAAATGGATTGTACTCTGTTCTCTGATTTTCAAAAATTCTCTAATTTGGAAGGATTAAATGTGATTTTCTTGCCCTGCAGCCATTTCCATTGGTTTCCTCTTCACGGTGGTTGGTGAAAAGGGGTGAATTAACAGCTTATGTAGAAGACACTGGACTTTTTTCCAAAAGAACCTCTAAGCAGCAGCTGTACTTCTTCCTCTTCAATGATGTCCTCATCATCACCAAGAAGAAGAGGTAAGAGCTTCACCAGTATAAAACTACTTTTGTGTTCAGTCTTTGAATCACAGTGACTTTTAACATGATCCTGGCTGTGGAATGAGTTCAGGAGTTATTTGAGCCTTTATCATGGGTTACAAATAACAAGTAACTGCTTGTTAAACAGGATTTACTTTTAGCAAACACAGTTAAGATTCCACGTTGTCAGACGAATTAAAAAGATGATTCTTTATGCCATAGCAGAGATGAGTTTGGGAAGGATAAAGTGTTGGGAATGTCCTTTCCCTGCACGCTTGCCAGGACTGCAGGAGCACGAGGCTCCCTGTGCCCGGGTGCCAGGGCAGCACAGCAGCAAACAGAAATGCTTGTTGCTAGCTGGGGTCGAATGCTGGTGCTTGTCCTTGAGCAGCTGAATCTCAGGAGAGTCTTAGCATTGCACTAAGACATCTCTCCTCACTCTGTGCAAAAATGGCCCTTTCTGAGGCTCTGCCCAGAGTTCATCTGCAGCCCAGGCTCAGCAGCCTCTGCCCGCTCCGTGTGCTGGAGCTGTTGGGCAGAGCAGCTCTGAGCTGCTGGAGATGCTCCAGAGCAGGAGCCAGAGGGGGCTCAGCCACAGGGCTGCTCCCCAGCACGGGCCAGGAGGGGACACAGGGATTTGGAATGGGGATAAAAGTCCACTTTTCCCACTGTCCAGCTTTTAGTTTATCTGGAATGTTTCTTCTGACACTTGTCCTTGTAGCCCCTGCTGTGGGTAGACACGATCTGATTTTTTTAATGTTAAAAATGACATAATACTTGCCAAGCAGTGTCCTGAGAGGAGCAGGGTGGGGATGCTGGGTCCTGCCCAAGGCCGGCCGAGCCACGGCTGCTGCTTGGGAAGGTCAGCCCAGTCTTGCAGCTGTGTGTGGGATGGAAGTGGGGAGTAGGAAGGATTTGTAGAGCTGTATCTGTTAGTTAGTAAGAAGTGGTGTTATGATTAGCTGTGCACATGTACAGACTAGTTGATTAATTCATAAGAAATGCATTTATTATTCATTGCACAAATGCATAGACACATTTCTTTTTCAGACACAAGATTCCCATGTAGTGATGGGATCCCAGCTGGGATTGCCAGTTCTTCCCTTGGCTAAGGAGTTATTTTGACTGAAATACTGAACTGACTTCTTTAAAAAAAATACACCCTCAAAATCCCCAAACTTACCCAAGAAAACCAAGCCCCAACCAGCCCTTTTGTGGTTCAGAGATCCGAGTAGCATTGGTTCCATTAAAAGCCATCATTTGGGAGTGCACAAAGTCATTCTGCAGAAAGCAGCCAAAGCCATCTCAGTGTTTATTTCCCAGAGCAGAGGTGGAAATGTCCTGGGAGCTGCACCTGGGCTTTGTGTCACACCAGAGCTCTGGCAGACGTGGTCACCCCGTGTGGAGCTGGAAGAGCTGTCCCTGCCGCGGTGTGGGACGGGGCTGGGGCTGCTTCCAGGCAGGCAGAATGGGAATGCAAGCCCTGAGTGCGTTTTGTGCCTGCAGTGAGGAGAGTTACAACGTCACCGAGTACTCGCTGCGGGAGCAGCTGCTGGTGCTGCCCTGCGAGGAGGAGCCCGGCTCCTCTCCCGCCAGGAGCGCGGCCGGGATGCTCCAGCGCAGCTCTGCCTCGCACCTCTTCAGGCTCCTGCTGCTCTGCAACCACGCCGGGGACCGGGGGGAGATGCTCCTGGGAGCAGAGACTCAGTGAGTACAGCTCCTGAAGGGAGCCCAAAGCACTAAACATTTCTTTATTCATTTGTTACTAACTCTGGTTTATTAATCGAAACTGCTGGGCAAGGCTGGATGACCCTGCCTGCAGAGATCAGTGGCTGTGCCCGGGAGGTGCCCGTGTGGGGCCAGCCCTGTGCGGGGTCCGTGCTGCCAGCTGGGTGCCACCGAGCAGGGCACTGGGACGCTGGCGTGGTGCTGGTGGCTGCATGGCACAGCAGGGGCAGCAGGGCAGGGTTAGAGCAGGAGCAGCTCTGCCTCTCACGGGCACCCTGAGGAGTCCTGCCTGAGAAAGCAGCAGCAGCCAGCGCCTGCTCTGGGATGCACATTGCCACCACCTTCCACACAGCCCCCCAGCACTGAAAGAGTTCATTTGTTCTGGGGGAAGCTGGAGCGGGACAGAGACATGAAAGGGAGTGCTCCAGACATGTCCCTGCCTGGAAAAATCGATCGTTTTAGGTTGGCTTTCAAAGTTTGGAATAGCCATGAAAGGAACTGAAGATCATCAGTGCTTTCTATTAAAGATCTCATTATGAAAGCAGGAGATGATTCAGACTTGTTTGGAAATGCAATTTTATTGGGGAAAAAATGCGGGACATTTTTAGTTGTCTGGGCTTTGTATGAAGAGACATTTTGTTCTGCAGACTTATTATTGATTTGTTCTGTGCTGTTTGCAGTATAAATAGCAGTCCAGCTGATCACCACTCAGAGCAAGAGTCTGAAAAAAATTCCTGTATTTTAAGTTAACTATTTTTATAGTCTTATCTTTTGAGAAGGATGGGAAGGAAATTTCCAAGGCCAAACAGTTCAGAGAGTTGAGTGTGCCTTCGGAATAGTTTTGTGCAGGTAAAACTGAAAGATTTTCTCTGACCCAAAGATTACCAGCATGGTTTGATTGTGTTTCACCACCTCCTGTGGCATGTGGGTCCCAAGGAGAAAAGTACCAGTGTTAGGTGAGAACTTTGTATGGCCCTGTGAAGAAGGCAGAGAATACTCAGTGGTGGTGATACACAGGGGTTACTCACAGGTGCCAAAGGGAGAGATGCTGGCACTGGAAGAACTGGGGGCAGTCTCAGAGCTGAGCAGGACATGAGCTGGGACACAGGTTCTGCTTTGCAGGAGTGACAGAGCCCGCTGGATCACGGCGCTGGGCCAGGACGGCGACGGGCACCACACGGACAGGACCAGTAAGTCCCAAGTGCTGGGGCTCGTGAGTGCCCTGCAGCAGGGCCGGGCTGGGCTGGGCTGCCCTAAGCCCTGGGGGAAAGGAAAGTGGAAATTTTTAAATAAATGGTGATGTGCCCCTGCCCTGTGACTGGTTCAGCTGAGCCTGCCTCACTCCTTCCCCAGCACTGGCTCAGGTGGAGATCATCAGAACGTACACAGCCAAGCAGGCCGATGAGCTGTCTCTCCAAGTCGCTGATGTCGTTTTGGTTTATCAGAAAGTGAATGATGGTGAGTGAGGATTTTGCTGTCAGTAACCATTTGTCACGTCTGCAGGGGGATCCAGCTACAAAAACTTGTTTGCTATTACACAGGGCTGCAGTGAGTAAAAGTTCAGCTTCCAAGGAAAACGTGAGCATTTGGGTTCGGGTTTCTAAAGGAAGCAGCAGATGCAACCAGCTGTAGAACATGGCTGCTGGCCAGTTTTGGCATGGGAGGTGTACACAAATAGGAAATTGAATTTGTCTAAAACCAGGGAGCTCAGACATTCTAGCGAGTGCCAGGGTTGTCCAAGAAAAACAGCCCCAGCGTGCCGTGCCGTGGCCTGGGCTTTCCTGCCACAGCTCTGGCACAGGGTGGTTGCCACAGGATCAAGTATCCCAAGATCAGTGTCATTCTTGCCCAGACCTGCCCACAACTGCACTGATAGCACCAAGTGCTGGCTCAGGGATGCAGGAGGGACTAAATTCTAACTTGCTGTTGCTCAATAACCTGTGAAATCAGAGATCCTGTCCCTTGTGCTGCATTGCTGTACTACAGCATTACTTCAAACTATATCTGAATGACAGAAAGGACAGCAAAACTGTGCCATCCTTTGCACTGTTTTTTACCTAGTCTGGCTGGACTGATTCCCAGCCAAGGCAAATGCAGAACGTACCCCGGTGCCCGCAGCCCGGGCTGGGTGAGCTGCAGAGGAGTCACTGCTGTCCCTCCCCTGCAGGCTGGTACGAGGGGGAGCGGCTGCGGGACGGCCAGAGGGGCTGGTTCCCCTCGGAGTGCGCCAGGGAGATCACCTGCAGGGCCACGCTGGACAAGAACATGGAGCGCATGGGGCGCCTGCTGGGGCTGGAGACCAACGTGTGACCGTGTCCTCACCCTGCTGGGGCTGGAGACCACCCCTGGGGCTGGAGACCAACGTGTGACCGTGTCCTCACCCTGCTGGGGCTGGAGACCAACGTGTAACCCTGTCCTCCTCCTGCTGGGGCTGGAGACCAACGTGTAACCGTGTCCTCACCACCCTCTGGGGCTGGAGACCAACGTGTGACCGTGTCCTCACCCTGCTGGGGCTGGAGACCAACGTGTAACCGTGTCCTCACCCTGCTGGGGCTGGAGACCACCCCTGGGGCTGGAGACCAACGTGTAACCCTGTCCTCCTCCTGCTGGGGCTGGAGACCAACGTGTAACCGTGTCCTCACCCTGCTGGGGCTGGAGACCAACGTGTAACCGTGTCCTCCTCCTGCTGGGGCTGGAGACCAACGTGTAACCGTGTCCTCCTCCTGCTGGGGCTGGAGACCAGCATGTAGCCATGTCCTCCCCCCCGGGACGGGGGCAGCACAGCCAGGCCCAGCAGCAGCACTGCAGGCTGGCGCTCCCTGCTCCGGCAGCGCCCCGAGGCCTGGCCCCAGAGCAGCAGCGCCTCGGGCACTCCTCTGCAGCTCCTGCCTCGCTGCCTCCTGCTCTGGGGCACCTGCAGTGGTTTGAACAGCAGAACTCTGTCGGGCCTGGCCCCTGGCCCCGGTGCTGGGCAGCAGTGCTGGGTACCCTGCTCCTGAGCAGCTGCAGCCCAGACCCGGGGACGTTTCCCTCGTGCGAGTGGCCCCTGAACTCCAGTGACAGCTCTGGGCTCCGTCAAGGCTGACCTACCTCTCCATCCAGGGATGGCCCCGGCCCGGCACGGGCAGAGCTGGCACCACCAGAGCTGCCAGGACTGCAGCTGCACCTCCACAGGAAAAGGCAGCAGCCTCTGCAGTGGTGCTGCTGCCCATCTCAGCACAGGTGTTTTACTGCAGAGCAACTGCTGGAGTGGGGCAGTTGTTTCTGCTGAGGCCTTGCACTTCACCTCTGTGTGCTCCAGAGCAGCGGCGAGGAGGTGACACCGAGGAGAAGGTGACACCGAGGAGAAGGTGACACCGAGGAGAAGGTGACACACACTCAGGGCTGAGCAGGGCCCCGGGCAGGGGTCAGAGAGGTGTGAGTGTGTTTGATAAACCCCCCTGTAAGGACCAGCTGCTGCCTCAGCAGTAGCAATGAGGGGACAACTTGCAGTTCCAAGGTTTTCTTCCTGTGCCTTCCCAGCCTCCGCTGGTTTTTATCCCGTGAGATGCTGATTCGAGTGCTGTGTGAATTGGGTGCTTGTACAGATGTGTGGCTCTAATAATTTAAACTACACTAGGAAGGCAGTAATTTTGTACAAAAATACTTACCTGGACAGTGTGACAGTGGTTATACAGCCTTGCTAATTAATTTATAAGTGGACTGATAATATAGTAATGAGAGAAACTGTAAATGGAACAAAGACTTATTTAACATAGTAAAAACATTGCTACTGTTTTAACAAATTTTACTGTATACATGTGGATGTTTAACACAAAATTGAATGTATAAATCCAGGCATTAATTTTATTCAGATTTTTTTAATACACTGTATATATTTTTCATACCTAGTTTTTCCAAAAATGCTGTAATGTTTTGTAAAGACATTTTTCATTTTTCCTATTGTTGGACACAGTTCTTCAGGAATTAAAAGACTTCTATGATTTTATAGGACAACAATCAATAAAGTACTTTTAAATCCTTACTAAAAAAAGTTTTGATTTTGTTTTAAATGCCATGAAGCTCGTGTCCATACCAAACTCAGCTGTAACTGTTCACTCCCAGCCTCCTGTCCCTGGAGCCCAGGGCAGGGAGCTCAGCCACTCCACACACTGATTAGCAAAAAAAAAAAGCAATTTTTAACACTGACCTCTCTATTAGCACTGCTATTGCAAAGCAAATAATCTGAAAACTCAAGCCCTTCATCAGGCCTTGTGCACTTTGAACACACCCAGGCACACACTCTCATTTTTCACTGGAGGTGGGCTTTACACCAATACCTCCTTTTCCCAGATGTATTTTGTTTCTAAAATAACACACATAGCCCAATCAAGTGGACAGAACACAAGTGTTGGAAATAAACAGTAAATTTTGGCACCAAGGTTGAGGAGATCCAAGGCTTTGTCTGCTGTGATCTGCAAATGATTTTCAACAGCTGTATCAAAACTTCATCATTCAGGCAAACTAAGATAGCATCAAAGTCAGGCAGAATTTACTGCATCACTGAATTGCTACAGTCCATAACCCAGAGTTCTGGAAGGTGCTGGAAACTAAGCCAGCAGCAGACCTCATTAAGTACAACAGGGCTTTGACCACTCTTTGTCTCGGGCTGGCCATTTAAAAACCAAGTTACAAACATCACATTACCTCTTCAAGATCTGAATAACCTGATGCCGTGGTTTAAGCCTGGCTTGCAGCTCATCCCCACGTGGGATGGAGGAGAGGTGAAGGGGCAAAGTGAGAGAAGTCCTGGGTTGAAAACAAAGCTGACCCTGTGCCTCACAATGGGGGTTTGAGGGAACTCCTCTTCAACCAGGACTGCCATTCTCACCTTTGTTTTGCATTAATTAGTTAAAAATTAGCCATAATTCCTTCAAAGACCATGAAAAAGGAGAATGCTGCAGGTACCATGTGCCAGCCTGTACTTTCTTCATTCCATTTAATCCAGCCAGGCCAATGCCAGCACCAGGGCCAGCTTTTTCTCTGTTAATAAAGCAAGGATCTGTGACCACAGCAGCCACCCTGCCCATGCAGCCCCTCACGGCTGGCCCCCACTTTGTTCCCTGCTGCCCCAGTGATACCTTTTGTTTCCAGCACAGAAACTCCTCACTACAAATTATTTCCTTCCCATTTCCACAGAGTTATCAGTTATTTAGACCCCTTTTATTTCCCCTTTGAGTCTGGGGCCGCCGGCTCTCTCACAGCCACCTCCTCCCTCCCTGCAGTCTCTGTTTCATCTGTTTTCCCCTTGCTCAGGGATTTCCTCCTCATTTAGAACACCTGAAGGTGAAATAGTCAGCTGGTGGTGGGGAGGGAGGTTAAACGATGCATTTTGTGCAGCTGGCAGTGCCAGTGAGGAGCGTGAGGAGCTTGGCACCCTCCCTCCCTTGTTAACCCAATGGAAAGCAGTCTAGCCAGTACTTGGGCTTGTTGCACCTGAGCTCTTCTGCTTTCCTCAGAGTAAAGCATAAATCCTCCTGAACCTGATGATTAAGGTCATTTTTGCAAAGGAAAAAAAACAACAAAACACCACAGAAGGGAGAAAAGTTGTATTTCCAGGCTTTTTTTTCTCAAGGATAAACCTCAAAATTCTTAACAAACTTTGTCATTCAAATAATCTTCCACAGCTTGAGATCATTCACAACAGAACTTTCTAAACATTGAAAACAGTTGAAATAAGACTTGCAAAAAAAGACTCTTAATGGAATACTATAACTCATACATGAACTTCTTAAAAAAAAAAAAAAAAACAACAAAAAAAACCCCCTCGAACGCAATGAAACCCTAACACATAATCCAACATGAACTTTATCTAACCATGCTTTCTGCAGTCTACAATTTCAGTCTGTAGTGATGATGGATGCGGACAGAAAGCAAAGGAAGATTAATTGAATGGGATGAAATGCAGAAAAGGAGAAGAATTTCTGAAGATTGTTTCCTCCCACCATAAAAATTCACCAAGTGTTTTCAAGTTTAGTTAAATTAAGCTGTAATTACCTTCTGTGAAAGTGCTGGTGAGCAGACTGCTGCACAGCTGGAATAACACAGCAAGTATAATTACTCACCACACCTCATTAAAAAGAAAAAAAATTAAACAGTTTAGGTATTACTAAGCAGTATTTTAGCAGGTTTTTTTTAAAATATCTGTTACCTGATGGGTAAAAAACCCAAAGAAAAGAGCTACAGCAGGACAGGAACCTGACACCAGCCAAGAACTGCCTTTCTGTCCCTCACAAGGCTACAGCGAGCACAGAACACATGCACACACACACTGCCAGCTAGCTCCGAGTGCTCCCCAGGGGGAGGAGAGCCCAGCTTACCCTCCAGAAGTGGTTCCTCAGCTAAAGAAAGGCTGTGAAGGGCAGGGAGGGGCTGCTGAAGGCGTCAGCTGTAGCGCTCGCCCTGGAAGCGCGGCGCGAAGTTCCTGACGCCCTCGTTCTCCTGCGTGGTGATCAAGTCTATGATGGCTGTCAGCACTGCCGTGTCCCTGCTTTTAATGTCATTCCAGTCCACCGGATGGGGCTTCTCTATCTTCTCTTGTAGAAGATCATCAAGTTCTTTTCTCAGTTTCTGGGAAGCGTTGGAATAAAGGAAAAGAAGGAAAAAGCAAAGAGATGGGTAGTTAAGAGCTACACAGAGCATCAACAGAGGGATTCCAGTGCCTCGGGCCCTCTGTTCTCCCAACCTTTACCCCTGCTCTTCTCCCCCCAGTTCAGTTCCACATTGCTGTTTTCAGGATCAAACCCTGTCCCTCAAAACCCAGTCTCTTTGATGAGAGATGACCATCTCTGGATGTGATGCCTCTAACAGCCCACCCAGCACTCGGCTAACTACCTCAGGATTAAAAACACCAGTTTAAAATAAAAATGAAATTTTAAAAAGAGGTATGATTTCTGGGATCTAGTATTAAACAGTGTGGGTGTGGGAATGGAACCCATTCCTGTTCACTGAGGAGCCCTGCTCTCATGTTTCCATATCCATGTGGGTATCTCCTGTACTGACCAAGTCATCCCACAGCATCTGTGCAAAATTAGATCTCTTTTGCTTACTTTGTGTGCTAGAACTGCTTGCTGGGAGTGCATTTCAAGCAGCATCTCCCTGAGCAATAAATCAATCCACAGCAATATCAAATCCAGAAATCCCTAAGCAAAACCAGTGTTACACTGATCCTTCCAGCTATCTTATTTTGAACCAGTTACCTTGACCAAGTTTGCTATTTTTTCTGGAGACTGGAAAACAATCCACTCATCCACAGCGATGGTGTCCTGGTC